ACAATTCTCTATTATATATTAAATAAATAAACAATTTGGTAAATAAAATAATAAACATTTTAAATAATAATAATTAATTAAATTAATAAATTTAAATTATAATCACATTTACTAATGAGATCTTTTGGTCACGTGAGATTTTAAATCTTCGTAAATCTCTAAAATAATTGTATTATCAAGTGAGTTAATATAGGTCCGTAGTTATAACGATTAGGATTTCATATAAAAAATATAAATTATATACATACATAATAAATCAATTAACTTAAAAATATAGTTAAATGTATATTATTTAATCCTTTCTTGTGTGAGAATTTTGAATCTTTACAAATATTTAGGATAATCGTATTACCGTATAAGTCAATAAGGCTTTGCAGGTATAATGATTAAAGAGTCTTTAAAAAAATAAATATACATATACACACGTTTAAAGAAATTATTATTAATACAAAAATATATAAACAAATAAATTAAGTTATTAAACTCTTTTATCATGCGAGATTTTGGGATCCTCTATAGATAATTAAAATAATTATATTATTGTATGAGCCAATAAAGCTCTACAAATATAGCAGTTAAATTCTCAATCATAAAATAAAAAAAAATTTTTAAACTCTTTTCTTTTCTTTATTCCAAAAATTCAAAAATTGAAAAAATAATTAAAATTAAATTACTTTTTACAATTTAAAATGTACATATCAAAATTTTAAAAAATTATTTTATTTAAAAAATGGTGAATTATTTCTAATTAATTTCTCTTCAAAAAAATATTTTCACCAATAAACTTATAATCCTCAATTACATGAACTTTGATCTTCATCACAAGGTATATAGGCCTTAAAGTATGATTATGAGTCAAGTCCTTCCTCGTAAATAAATAAATATTCTCCATTTTATTATTATCATTTTTTAAAACACATGTATAAGAAAGGGATAATTAAAATAATTGTAAAGCCATATTAATTTAGCACAACAAACTTTAGGTAATCGTTCTCACGAACGGGTATTGTAGGGTGCTTAACACTTTCCCTACGTTCAATCGACTTCCAAACCTATTTTTAATTTTACAAACCTCCTTACTTCCTTTAATTAATTTCTCAAGATTTTCCTCAAAATTTTGATAACAACTCCTGTTGTGCTAGTTTTCGCCTCAAAGGCCAGAGCTTCTGCTCTTGCTCGTTGTCTGCATCGCGTTTTGGGTACAACACTAGAAGCTTTAAAGGCTCAATATCAAAGACAGCATTCTTAATCTTTGTATCCTCAACATTTCTTTATAGCCATATCATAGGTGAGTCTGGAATTGAAGGAAAGTGAGAAGGTAGATCAATAGGCAATGTGCCACCCTATTAGTGGTATAGAGTTATAAGAAGAAAGAACTTGCCATATTTCTTAGAGAAACTTTATCGTTGACCCAATTACCATCTTTATCTTGGAGGGACGTAATTTTTTGCCCCTTCTACTTGATGATAGAAGATGTAAAATTTCTAAGTAGACAACTAAGATTACCCTTACTAATCTACCCATAACTCCAAGTTCAAGATAATTATGTAGATAGTAAAAATTACTAAGTTGTATAATTCCCAAAAGTAAGGATCTCAAGTTTTTACAATTCAAAACATTCTAATATGCTTATATTATTCATAAATCAAAGTTAAAATTGCATATGGAAGCATGGGATCTTAAATAAATCAACACATTTGCAAAATAATTGAAGATAGCAACATAGTGCAGTAAAAATAGAGGGGTGTCATGGCTTGTTGCCTCTATGCCATGCGCCATGGCGCAATGCACAAATTTAACAGCATCTTTATTGTCATAAAACAACTTGAGGGCAAATTTTTAACCCACCCATTTCTCTATTGGATGTCCAATTGAGGTATTTGATACGTCTATAAAGAGCTTTTTCCTAACTCTAGCTAATGGCATTGATTTCACAACCAAATCATTTTTTAATAAAGAATTGAAAACTCATTTTAAAACTTACTCTTTTTTCACGATTAACACAACTTGGGTGCTTAAATCACAATTCAAGTGCGAAGAGCATGCACCATTTCTTAAATCATACTCAAAGGACTATTACAGACTCGTGCAACACACCACAACTAATCAATCACTCATAAATCATAATTTTGATGCTCAACCCCTTAAGTCACAAAAATATAAAAGGGAGCCAAATTCTCATAAATTTACATAATAATCATCATAATCAATCATTCACATAATTTTAACCCTATATACACATTATCATTATATCACTAACACCTCAGGGCACGAAATATGCTTAAAAAATAATCTCATAATTAGTACAAGTAGTCACAAAACTATATGAAATCTTAGTTGACAAATTATCCACATAGTACACAAAATTTAAATAACATGAGGCCTACAAGTAGGATTTTCTTCGAATCCTAAGTCTCTAATCATTTTTCCTAATCCTGGTCTAATGAGTTATGCCCTGCAATATTAAAGAATGAGGGGTGAGTACAACCACTCAATAACCAAGGTCAACCTAGTCTAAACAATTGCATATCGATTAATTATAGATGCAAATGATAATTAAAATCCTTTTTGCAACCAGTATAAATATATTTCAAAGGTTGCCTTAACCACAATACTAATAACCATATGGTTAAGTATAAGCACATATCATCTCACATATATAATCAATAATGCACATAAGGAGTCGTTATAATGACAACCATGTGCTTCTACCAAAACATATCAGACTAAAATAATAACAATTATGTGGTCGAAATATGATATGCATGATTGATGTCAACCTTATACCTCTTGATACCTCCAACATGAAACTATTAGCTATATATATAACTTAAACTAACTCATCCTTCTACTTATGAGGAGCTGCTTGGCTAAGGTCAACTTACTCACTTATAATCCATGATTTCTCCTAATGTTAACAACTATGAGGTGTCATACTCTTAATATACCCTCCATAAGAACCTGTGGAGACTATTTAGATTCAAGTCTCTTAAAGAATAAATAAGATAATCCCTAATCAACCATGGGATAATGGCTGCATCTCGATTTCAATAATTGATAGCTGGCTGACTTTCGATTATAACAGTAAGTCACTATTGCCATATGGATTTAATGCTACTTCTCTTCTTAGGCAAACTCCAACTATAAATAATCATGTTATACACACATTTACACATAATAGGCAAAATTATTGACAACCATTATGATATTATACTCATCACAAAACCATCTCCATCATACTCCATAAATCTCATCATATACCATATATCTCATGGTATTCACGTTCATATATATGCATGTTTCTATTCAATAATATTGTTAACACATGTAAAACATACGTATCATTTTTTATCATCTCACTAACATAATTTCATGCATGTCATAAAAATTTGCCAAACTTTACATCGAATGTGAGTTTACAACATTTATGACTTTTAGATCATTCCTTTTAATATATAATTAATTAATACACAAAAGTATAAACCAAATCTCCATTAGCTACCTTAAACCTTTAAGAGGTCAAAGGGTTATCCCTCAAAATATAAACTTTCAAAGCTCTCTTCAAGCTTAAATGATGCCAAATTGATTTGTCTATAATTTAACCATAAAGATAATCATTAATATCCTTATTTGGATAATTTCAACACTTTACTCAACCTTTCTAACTCACATAAAATACAATCTCCTACTTTTTAATATACTTATTAGGTTTACTAGGTTCATATAGCTCACATTGTCATTAATGAGCCATTAAACTATCATAAATGGCTTCAAAATACCTCCAACAACCCTCATTATGACTAATTTTCAAACATTAATGGCCCTTATCGACCAACAACTCATGAAACCATTAATGCTAAGCTTAAGTATCCTAAACAACTCCTATAAACTCTATTTAAGTTAATAGGTTCATACTTATAGATCATATGGACTAAAAATCACTTTTTAAATTCAAATTCTAACTCAAATCCTCATAAAAATGAAAAAGAAAGGGAGGAAAGAGTTTATAAACCTTATCTTAGGTGTTCAATAGCTTAAAAATACTCCCAAGCTTTCAATAGAAAGCCCTAATAAAGAGACCTTAGGTCCTACATTTTCTCCTTTTTCTCTCTTCTGATTTTTTTGAACAATACAGACCATTTTAAGTACAATTTCAACCATGTACCGCGACAAATGTGCTACACGCGTGGTATGTGGCACAAAGACACTCCCTTTAAATTTTCTCCTTTTTTGATGCCTGAGTGACCCAACTTTACTTCGAGCTCAAATCAAGGGTTGAAACCATAATCAAAACTACTTGTTAGACTTCTCTTGCCACACACTACATCAAGTTACTTAATTACTCTCTTTTACTTAAATTAATCTGATTTTGACTTTTCTCAAAAGTTATAGAAAAGGCATAGAAGAAAGAGATATTTCTATCTCCCCACTTTAACCATTTATAGCAAGACTTTTGAAACCATATAAGCCCTTCGTAAGCTACAAGCTCATGATATTCCTCCCAAAGTTTTAAATACAACGTCGATAACCCATTGTAAGGATTAACTGATTTGGCTCTATCAATCCCCTCAAGTCTACGGAGTATGGCACGCTTGTGTTTGGGTATACTAACAATATGTTTGTTATTCCATCTTCGAGTTAAAGAATGAAACTCAACAAGGCTAGTTGACTAGAGTGTTGTCTCTTTAACAAAATAGTACTAAGCTAAAACCCTAATGGAGTAAAGGGTGTGTAACATCCTGATTTTTTATATAATAAAGAAATTGTGGAATTTAGGTTTTGAGAAAAAAAATGATAATAATAGGAATTTATATTATTTGAGGTTATTTAGAAATAATATTATGGTTAGGTATTTAATTATGAATTTAAAAATTTAAATTTAAAACCACATAAGCAATATTTAGTTAAGATATAATACATAAATAATTTTTTTTATGTATGTGTTGAAAAAAAAAAAGAGAAAAGGTAGAAGGAACAAAAAAAAGGGGGTGGAAGGTTGTTGTTTCTAAGTCCCACATTGGTTAGATGAGGGAAGAGAAGAGGTGCCTTCATGTATAAAAAGGAGGGGGTGTGTGCATTAGGAAGCATGAGAGGCTAAGATGCAATTTAGAGAAAATTGCAACTTTTGGCCCAAAGGTTTGAATAATTAAATTCAAACCTATAGTTTTTTTTAATATAATTTTGGGACTCACAATCCCATTTTTATATTATTTTTCTCTCTTCCTCTCACGTTGCTCGGCGTTTTCTCGCAAGGGGGGATTATTTTCTTTTTCTTCAGGTATGTTCTAACTTTCCTGTTTAGATTAGCATTTAAAAATTTATTTAATTACAAAATTAATTTTATAGTTATTTTCTAAATAATATTAGCTTTCTAGTGATATGATTATTTTGTAGGATAGAGTAAATATTTTGATTAGGATTTTTCTATAGGATAGTTAATCTGATGATATGATGGATTAAAAATATAGGTTAAAATTCTTAGGGATATAATAAATATTATAGAATATTTTCTTGAGGTTGAAACTCATGTTTAAGAATTTTTGAGTTAAAATCTAGATCTATATGGTTGAATTTATGTGGAATCTGAGACGTAGGGATAAACCTATGATTATTAAATATTTATTTAAGTATGAATAGGTATTTTTGAGGTTATAGAAAGGTGATTTGAGGCTTCAGGATAATTCTAAAATTTTTAATTTATTTTTGGATGAATTTTTAGAATGTAGAAGGATGAAATTGTGATACTAGAAGTGAATTGAGGATAAAAAAAATAGTTCATTAGGGTACGAGAATTTTAGAAAAGAATTTGGGAAGTTAAATGAGGCATAAATCTTAAATTAGTGTTAATATGGACTATAGATTTAAGACTTTCTAACTCTTTAAATTAGAGTTATTTATTTTAATGTAAAATTAATATATAGTATTGTGAAATAATTATGTAGATTATATTGACAAAGATAGTGGTGAAAAAGGAGTTGTGAAGGGGAACTTGTTATTCAAGACACAAGGTAACCATTATTAATGTGTTGTGATGGGTGTGTTTGTGAATGGTTATGTGTTGTTTTGTTGTTTGGAAAAATTATGAATTATTGAAAATAAATACTGTATATACTTGTTTGAAATTATTGCCAAGTGGGTTAAAAATTTATTTTTGTTTATCATGATGAGATATTATTGTTCGGATATATTCCTGTTTGGATATTTGAATGATGCATGACTTGTCAGGGTATTTTAATGTATGGTGTTAATGGGAATTTCTGTTCGGTTAATTATTACCACGTGGTAAGCCCTCATTGGACCCAATGAGTGGCGTGTCGCTTGGTCCAACTCACCTTTGGCCGGGTGATTTGGCGTCCGAGCATGGCGAAAGGAGGATATAAGGTGCAGTCATGCAAATTAAATACTTGTTCGGTTTGTTTGAAAATATTGTTCGGTTAAATGTTTTGTGTGCCCACTTAGCAATCGCATGATTAGTTACATCGCATGCATCATTACATATTAATTTTTGGTTACTGGGACTTTTAAGTCTCATTCCCCGTGGTTAATATTTTTACAGGAGCGAGTCCGGCCGAGAAAGCACCAGAGGTGTAACTATGGTGTATGAGACACCATCTTTTACGTTGCCTCTTATTTTAGATTATACAATGTATCTTGTGCCAACTTAGGACATATCTTCTTTGTGAAGCATGTAAACTCTAATCCTTTTTATTAAAAGTATTTATTGACCAAGAGGATTATGTTTGTCTCTTTGATTCATGACCTAATTTAAATATCATGCCATGAGGATCCTGTCTGTCCCTCATGGTTCTAATTGCTTTTTGAGATATTTTAAGACCTGTGGTATATTGTCTTGGATGTATCATGGTAAGAAAATTTTCTACCATGATAATGGTTTTAATAATTTGTGAAAAATCGGTTTGTATTTTTGAGGGTGTTACATATTGGTATCAGAGCATATAGTCGGTTGGCAATATACATTGTTATGGTGCTTCTCATTGTATGGCCATGATATAGCTAGGCTAATTTTATTATTTATATCTTGTATCCTTTAGGAGGGGAGAGAAAATGCCTGTTACTCGTGGTAACTCAGGATTCCAACATGAGCACCTGCCACCGCCACTGCCAAATGAGGAGCCTGACTTGGCGGAATTAAGAATGCTTGTAAAAACATTAACAGACAAGGTTCAAGGATACGAACAAGAGTTGACGGAGCTAAAGAGGCAAAAGGTAACTGAAAATGGAGATAGGGCTCATGTTGAGAGTCATGTGGGGGAAGGCAGTTCCTCACATCCTGCCACTCCGAGAGATCATGAGTCTAGAAGGAAAGAAATTAGGCAAGAGGAACAGAGAGCCCCACCGACCATTACTGATGTGTGGGAAACTGTTAGGAAGTTTAACCCTCCTACGTTTGATGGTAACCTTAAACCATCCGTGGTAGAGGAATGGGTGAAGAGACTCGAATCCATCTTTCGAGTAGTCACATGCACCAGCAATCAAAAGTACAAGTAGCATTAGTGCTCCTAGTGAAAGGAGCAAGAGATTGGTGGGAGACAGCAGGGCCCAGGGATGATTCTACACTCACCTGGGAGGAATTCAAGGAAAAATTATTCAGGCATTACTTTCCATCAGAGTTAAGGTCTGAGAAGGAAGCGGAATTCCATGCCTTTAAGCAAGGGAACCTCGATGAGGACACATTCATTGCTAAGTTTCAGGAGTTATCTAGATACTCCACGTACCTGCAGTATAGGGATGATTCCGAATGGAAGGCTAAGCGCTTATTGGAGAAGGCTAGACCAGAATTGAGGGAACAATTGGCTCATCTAGATATCCGAGATTATGATGAAATGTGCATAAAACTACAAGTAGTAGCTCGCAGTAAGAAGGAGGTTGAGAGAGAGAAGAGGGGTTATTCATATAGTAGACCCCCAACCTACCCTCGACCCACCGGAGGCATTATGAAGAAAAACCATCAGGGTTCGAGTAGCTCATGGAACCAAGGAAGGCAGAAGGGTCCATTTCAAAGGGGCCAAGGACAGAGGAGCTATCATAGTAGTTATCACGGGTCACAGAGGAGCCCAACAGTATCTACCCCTGCCCCGAGTACAGCGAGCTCTCAACAGTGCACTAAATGCGGGCGTCGTCATTTCGGACAGTGCTGGGTCTGTTACATTTGTGGGAAACCCGGTCACATTGCAAAGTTTTGTGGGGACAACCAGGGCTCAAATATGAAGAACCCTTCCCAACATCCTACTGTCTCTGGTCGTGTGTTTGCTCTTACTCAGGACACCATGAACTCCCCAGATGCCATTAGAGGTAACATCAAAATCCTTCATCATGATATTGTTGCACTATTTGATTCGGGTGCTACACACTCTTTTATTTCTGAAACTTGTGTAAAGAACCTTGATTTGCCTGTGTGTATTTTACCTTTTGATATGAATGTGTCTACTCCTGCGGGAGAATCTGTGAGGACCGCTAAGGCATGCCTTAACCTAGTAGTCGAGTTTAAAAATAGGAAAACAACTATGGACTTAATTATCCTACCACTGAGAGGTATGGATGTAATTGTGGGAATGAATTGGATGGCTGCAAATGGTGCTATCCTAGATTGTAGAGAGAGGAGTGTGTCTTTATCTTCTTTGTCGGTGACCCCAGTCGAGACTCAAGATCATGTTTTCTTGTCGGCGGCGCAAGTTGATAGATGTATGAAGAAGGGTTGCCAGGCCTACATGGTTTTCTTCTCTATCCAAGCTGAGATTGATGAAGGCGTGAAGAATATCCCAATTGTCAAAGAATTTGCGGATGTATTTCCAGACGAAGTCTCCGGTTTACCCCCAAAGCGCGAGGTAGAGTTCTCAATTGAATTGGTACCCGGTACAGGGCCAATTTCTAAGGCTCCTTATCGGATGTCCCCTTCAGAGTTAGCGGAACTGAAAAAGCAAATTGAAGAGCTACTTGAGAAGGGTTTCATCAGACCGAGTGTTTCACCTTGGGGATCTCCAGTCCTTTTTGTAAAGAAGAAGGACGGAAGCCTCCGATTGTGCATTGATTATAGACAATTGAACAAAGTAACCATCAAGAACAAATATCCACTTTCGAGAATCGATGATTTGCTGGATCAGCTTGTGGGATCCGCAGTTTTCTCAAAGATTGACTTAAGGTCAGGGTACCACCAATTGAGAGTAAGAGCAGAGGATATACCTAAGACAGCATTTCGGACGAGATATGGGCATTATGAATTCATGGTGATGCCGTTTGGACTTACGAATGCTCCTGCGGTATTCATGGATTACATGAATAGGATCTTTCGACCCTATTTAGATAAGTTTGTAGTAGTGTTTATTGATGACATTCTTATTTATTCAAAGGATGAGGAGGCTCATGGTGAACATTTAAGAATCGTCTTGCAAGTTTTGAGGGAACATAAGCTTTATGCCAAATTAAACAAGTGTGAATTTTGGCTCCAAGAAGTAAAGTTTTTGGGCCATGTTGTGTCCAGAGATGGAGTTGCGGTGGATCCTAGCAAGATTGATGCAGTGATGAAGTGGGAACAGCCAAAATCTGTTACAGAGATACGAAGCTTTTTAGGTTTAGCAGGTTATTATCGTCGCTTTATTAAGGGATTTTCGCAAATTGCGATGCCCTTAACTAAGCTGACTAAGAAGGATGCCCCATTTATTTGGACTGACAAATGTGAAGCTGCTTTCCAAGAATTGAAAAAGAGGTTAACCACTACTCCAGTATTGACTATTCCTGACCCTGTGGTGCCGTACACTCTGTACACTGATGCTTCTTTAAAGGGTTTAGGATGTGTTTTGATGCAAAATGACCGAGTGGTTGCCTATTCCTCCAGACAGTTGAGACCACACGAGGAAAATTACCCTACTCATGATTTGGAGTTAGCTGCAGTTGTGTTTGCTCTGAAGATATGGAGACACTACTTGTATGGATCTAAGTTTCAAATCTTCAGTGACCATAAGAGCCTGAAGTATTTATTTGATCAAAAAGAGCTTAATATGAGGCAGCGACGATGGATGGAATTTCTGAAGGATTATGACTTTGAATTACATTACCATCCGGGTAAGGCTAACGTGGTAGCTGACGCCTTAAGTAGAAAGACTATTCATGCTGCACATTTGATGGTTCATGAATATCATTTGTGGAACAGTTTTCATGATGTTCCAGTAGATGTGATTGAACATCAAATGGCCGCACTCCAGGTAGCAGACTTTGAGAGCAAATTCTGGGAAGATCTCAGAGTCTCACAGCAGAGTGATGACTACTTAAGGAATATAAGGAAGGAGATAGTGGTAGGTAAGGCCCCAAATTTTACCATCTCTGAGGACACAGTGATGAAGTATAAAGGTAGAGTTTGTGTACCTAATGATCCAAGATTGAGGAATATCCTTTTAGAAGAAGCTCATAGGAGCAAATATACAATTCATCCCGGTATAACTAAAATGTACCATGATTTGAAGCGAGGTTGGTGGTGGCCAGGAATGAAGAAAGATGTAACTGAATTTGTTTCTAGATGTTTAACGTGTCAGAAGATAAAGATAGAACATCAGAAGCCAGCTGGAACACTGCAACCGTTAGATATTCCAAAGTGGAAATGGGATGATATTTCCATGGATTTCATCACTGGACTGCCAAGAACACCCTCGAGTAAGGATGCTATTTGGGTGATAGTAGACCGACTCACCAAATCAGCTCACTTTTTGGCGATCAAGTTTACCTCTACATTAGAGAAATTTGCTGAGATATACATTAAGGAGATAGTTAGACTTCATGGTATACCCTCTAGAATTGTGTCAGATCGTGACCCAAGGTTCACTTCAAACTTTTGGGGTGCGCTACAGAAGGCTATGGGTACCAGACTGAGTTTTAGCACCGCATACCACCCCCAAACAGATGGACAAACAGAGAGGACGATCCAGACTTTGGAGGACATGTTGAGAGCTTGTGCCATTGAACTACCAGGTAGTTGGGATAATCATTTGCCATTAGCTGAATTTGCTTATAATAACAGCTATCATTCTAGTATTGGGATGGCGCCTTATGAGGCCTTGTATGGAAGGAAGTGTAGATCGCCTTTGTGTTGGACAGAATTAAGTGAGAGGAGTATCATTGGTCCAGAAATTGTAGAGCAGACCACCCAGAAGATTGCAATGATTAAGCAAAAATTGCTAACCGCTCAGAGCCGACAGAAGAGCTATGCTGATAAGAGGAGACGGCCGTTAGAGTTTGAAGTAGGAGATCATGTATTTTTGAAGGTTTCTCCAGTGACAGGCATTGGTAGATCCATTAAGGCAAAGAAGTTGACACCTAGATTTATGGGCCCGTATGAGATCTTGGAGCGAATTGGATCTACTGCATATAGAGTTGCATTACCTCCACAGATTGCAGGTATCCATAATGTGTTCCACGTATCACAGTTGAAGAAGTACAACCCGGATCCCTCCCATGTTATTGAACCTGAAGAAGTAGAATTGAGGGAGAATTTGACCTTTAGATCCGAACCGGAGCGAATTGAGGACTTTAAGGACAAACAACTACGCAATAAGACCATCCGACTCGTGAAGGTGATTTGGAAGGGTGGAGCCCTAGGTGATGCTACTTGGGAAACCGAGGAGAGTATGAGGCGAGATTATCCACATTTATTTGCTTAGGTACATAGTTTCTATGCTTATCTATTAAATTTTGAGGAC